TTTGGCGACGTGACGCCCTGCATGGCACAGTTCGTGGGACGACGCCCTATACAGCTCACGGTGATGTTTGACTGTATGGCTGGCAAGCGTTGTTGGGGGTTGTGCTCGAAATTTTTGGTGCCCCTCACGCTGTCCGGAGAGTACACAGGGCACGACTACCATTGTATGGGGTGATGATGGCGCCGTTGGTGAAGTTAGTGCTGTGCGGTTTTTGACATATGGGACTTCACATAGGAGTAGTCGGGGCACGTGGTTGCAATATTGTTAACTTAAGGGCTGAGATCACGGTGCAGGTTTAATTGCCTTGTTTGTTCTGCATTCGGCCAAATCCGCCGACCCCTTGTGGGTCTCTAGGCGCGTGAGATAGTTCCCCCCCCCATAACCCCCCCCAAAGGACCCCAAACCGGAGATTCGACCTCCCCCCTCGCCCCGGACGAGTGCACCACGCAGCTTTTCCGGGCCCAAGAGGGCCTCAAGACGCACCTAGAAAGCCCCAAGAGGCACCCAAAAGGGCCCACGAGGGCCCCGAGATGCTAAACGAGCGCTCCAAGACGCCCTAGCTGGCCCAAAGATGGGTTCAGAGGCCTCTAAGACGGCCCAAGAGGTCCCTAAGAGGCCTCCAAGATGCGTCCCAAGAGGGCCCCTAGACGCAAAAAAATGCCCATTCCCTTTCGTAAAACATACAATTGTCATACATTCGCCTTCTGGGCTTTCCGATGCTCTCAGACGGCCCAAGAGGACCCCGATACCGCCCCAAGACGGCCCAAGAAGCATTCAAGAGTGTCCAAAGATAACCCAAGCGGGCCCCAAGACAGCCCAAGAGGCGTCCAAGACGGCCCGAGAGGGCCCCGAACACGGCCCCAAGAGCGCCCCAGGAACCCTCCAAAAGGAAGGCGGGCATCCGCTCTCGGCCACAATCCGAAAGCAGCTTTATGGGGGTCCGCAGGTAGCCTCGAACCCAACCAATCCGCCGACCCCTTGTGGGTCTCTAGTTCTAGGCGTGTGAGATAGTTCCCCCCCCCATAACCTCCCCCAAGGGACCCCAAACAGGAGATTCGACCCCCCCCCCCCCCTCGCCCCGGACGAGCGCGCCACGCAGCTTTTCCGGACCCAAGAGGGCCTCAAGACGGGCCCCAAGGAGCTCTCAAAAAGGCCCCCAGGAAGCCCCCCCAAACCCCCAGAGCCTCCGAAACGGCTCCCAAGTGGCGTCGAAGCTGCCTTCTAAAAAGGCTCCCTAGAGGCGCGACGCGAAAACCCGATACACATACAAGCTGCCGCCAACCCATAACCCATAACCCAGAGCCGCCTCTCTGTGTCCCCCCTCCTTCTCCTCCCCCTCCTCCTCCTCGGCCCCCTAGGTCCCCGAGAAGCGCCGTCACTGCTTTCCAGAGGCCCCCGAGAGGCGCGCCACGAGAACCCGATGCACAGACCAGAAGCCTCTAACCCATAACCCATAACCCATAGCCTCCTCTCTGTGCCCCCTCCTTCTCCTCCCCCTCCTCCTCAACCTCGGCCCCCTCGGCTCCCAACAAGAAACCGTTCACCCGTAACCCCTCTTTCTCTCTTTCTCCTCTTTTTCTCTTTCTCCTCTTTCTCTCTTTCTCCTCCCCCTCCTCCTCCTCCACCGCGTCCTCGCCCCCTCCTCCTCTTCCACCCCCGCCTCATTCTCATCCTCTTCGACTATCCCCCCTCCCCCCGTCCTCCGCCTCGCCCCCTCCTCCTTCTCTCCCCGGCTGCTTTCCCTCCCCAGCACGCGCGCCCGATTGGGCATCATTTGCACGTCTCGCAGTTCAGGGTGCCCTTCTTTTCATCGCGCGCGACATGGGCAGGGTTCGCGGAGAAGGCCGACTTCGGCAGTCTTCTCTTGCACGCGCCGCTGCGCTGATACGCATGGCAACTGCGCGCTGTGAGCCCGAGCTCATTGCAGCCTCCGCACACCACTTTGGCTCCTTTCGCCTTTCGATGATCCTCCACTTGATCCTGCTTCAAATTCTTCGTGTCCGAGAACTCTCCTCCGCACGCTGCGCACGTCAGCGGCTTCGCGTCCGCTTCCGCTTTCCGTTTGCGATTCCCTGCTCCGTAATTCGTCCGCAAAACCGCCTTCTCCCGCCCTTCCGCACACTTCCGACACAACCTCTCCCCCGTTGTGTCGTGCTTCTTCTGAGCTTCCGACATATCCACCTTTTCGTCGCACAGCGACAGGCACTTTTCGCTCGCACATCGCACAATGCCGACGCTGTCGTTCCACTTTGCGTTGCCGCTCCGCGACTTCTGCTTGGCTTTGACATGGCTGCACCTCGCGCGCTACATTGTCCGAGTCCTGTTCGTCTCCCCGCCGTCCGGCCACCAAAAATCTACAAAATCTAACTTTCCGCCCGCAGGAACCCCGGGGGCACCAAAAAAGCACCCCTGGGGGCCCAAAAAGGCCCCATGACGGCCCACGAGGACGCCAAAGCAGCCCAAGAAGGGCCCAAAGAAGCCCAAGAGAGCTCGAAGACGAGCCCAGGAGTAGCCCGAACAGCCCCAAGGATGCCCCCCTCAGGCCCCGAAAAGCTCCCAAGAAACCCGACAAGAACCCCAAAACGACCGCCAAACGGTGTCGAACCATCTGATCATTGACTTCAATGAAGGGGTCGGCGGACGTGGCGCAAGCCTGAAGAATCCACGTCTGGAAGTGACGTGTTGCCGGAGGCAGGTCGCGCAGCGGAGCGGAAACCCTAATGCAATGGATCCCATGTATCCAATGATTGCGTAATTGCTACATATTGCATTGTGTTACATTGTTATCTCTCCCCCCCTACCCCCCCCCCTCCGGAGCCGCGCCACTTCCGTCGACCCCAAGGTGGAGGGCCCCTTCTGGGCCCAAAAACAAAAAAAACAAAAACACCTATAAGAAATCTACAAATTCGGCCTCTTGGGCCTCTTGGGGCCCCAAGAAGGTTTCAAGACGGCCCAAGATGGCCCCAAGACAACCCAAGCCGGCCTCAAGACGGCCCAAGATGGCCCAAAGAGGGCCCATGAGGCCCCCCAAAATATCCAAGAGGCCCCCAAAAAGACTCCCGAGAGCGCCTCCAGAGGCCAAAATCTTTGATTTTCCTATAGTTCTGGGACAATTTCAACGTTCTCGCCTTTTTCGGCTCTCAGAAAGCCATGACGGCCCAAGCAGCCTCCAAAAAGGCCCCCAAACGGCCCAAGAGGCCTCCAAGGGGGTCCCAAGACGGCCCAAGAGGGCCCCGAAACAGCCAAAAAAACTTCCAAGACGGCCCACGAAGCCCCCAAGACGGCCCCAAGGCGGCCGCGAGAGGCTCCCAAAGTGACCTCCGAAGTGGCCAGACGGCGTAAGAGCGCCCAAAGACGGCCCCAAGACGCCCCCAAGAGGCCCCCAGAGGCTCCAAAGAGGGCCCCGAACGGCCCAGGAGGGCCCCAAAACGGCTCAAAGAGGCCCCCAAGGCGGTCAAAAAAAACCCTGAGACGGCCCAAGAGGACCCCAAGAGAACCCCAAGGCGGCCGCGAGAGGCCCCCAAGACGGCCTCCGAAAGGGCGGAACGGCGCAAAAACGCTCCAAGACGGCCCAAGATGCCCCCAAGAGGCCCCGAGAGGCCCCCAAGAGGCCCCCAAGGAACTCCCCCAACAAAAACCTAGAGGCCTCCAAAAAATCCCCGAAGCCTCCAAGAAACCTCAAAGAAGCCCCCACAAGGCCACACAACGACTGGAGCGTAATGTTGTTTCCCCCCCTGGGCGAACGACGGCGCAGCGCCAGCCAGGTGGAAATTGGTCACGGCGGCGCGCATGATTAGAGCCGGCGCTGGAAGGGAAGATGGGGAGGGAGTGTGAGAAGGAGGGGGGGGGGAGAGGCCCCAAAGAAGCCCCCAAGAGGCCCAAAGAAGCTCCCAAGAGGCCTCCAGGAGGCACCCAGGAGGCTCCCAAAAAGGCCCCGCGACGACGTGACTGTACGTGCTCCGGACGTGCACCCCGCGAAGCGAGAGGAATCGCGCTTGCTTGAATTTGTGTGTGTGAGGCGCGCCGTATAGGAGCGCTATGTAAAATTGGACTCAGCCGCTAACAACGATATCTGATTCAAGATGGTTGTCCCGATGGTTGTCCCGATGGTTGTCCTTCCTCCCTCATCGCCGCTCTCGCGGGGGGGGTGTCTTGGGAGGGGTTTCCTGTTTCCACAAGGGTAGCCCGTAAGAGGCCCAGTCTTGGGAGGGCGTCTCGGAAAGGGCGTCCTGCCTCCACAATGGACTGTACGGGGTCCGGTCTCAGGCGGGCGTCTCGGGCGGGCGCCGCCCGCATGTGGCCGCGCCACTTATTTCGGCGCATCCTTCACACGTTTCCTGGCCTCACAGGGAGGCCCACCGAATATGATGACCACAGCTGCGATACTTACAACTGCAAATGATTGGGCCTTTTCCCATGCTAGTGTATGTTGTGTCGGCCTCTTCTGATGATATGGCAGCGGTGCTTTTCAATTATATAAGCCAAGATAAGACTTTACATTGTATATTAAATAGTATCATGATTAAGTATTTCAAGCGTTAGCTAAAACATGCTAGCGTCTACTAAATTCGATGTTGCCATCTCTCGATACATCGCTTAGGTTTTCGCTAAACCCTTAGCTAAACCTGATAACCCTTAGCAAGCGCGAACATCATCTCAATAGGGCCCGCCAGGCGCCCGCCGCCGAGGCCGGAAAACGCCAAACCATCGTCCGTCGTTTCTTGGTGCGCCTCGCGACGCGGGCGGGGTGAAAAAGGCCGCTCTCCTGAAGGGAAATGATGCGGGGAGACAGGCTTCGGAGACGAACATCGACCTGGAATCGGCGATGCATCGCCGATAGACTGCGGATAGGTCCTCAGTAGCGAAACAGGACGTTCCTGGGCGGGGTGGGATGTCGAGCCCCATCGGCGATGAGTGGGCGATTGGGGGGCGATGCGCACGCCGCCCCCTGAGCCACTCACCACCTAAAGTCGCCCCTGACCTTCCTCCCCCGACCCCGCGCTCCTCGCAATGTATGAACGTGTTCCTGACCACCAAGCTCCCTCCGAGCAGCTCTGCGCGCCACGCCGCGCCCGTCGCCGGCAAAAGCCGGCTCGACGGCATCCGAGACGCACACCGGAGGGCACCGCCTGTGCATCTACGCCGACACTGGCCGGGCCCATCCTTGGCCCAGGATCGGCAGACGCCCGCCTGGCTTGGGCAGGAGCGCACGTACGCCGAGCCCGGGCCCAGGATGGGCCTCGCCAGGATCGGTGCACATGCGCAGTGGGTGCCCTCCGAGCAGAGGGCGCCCGCGCGCAGCTCCCCCCCCCCTTCGGGCACACGCCAACATCTCGCCATCGCTCGGACGTCCATTCCCCATCCGTTTCCCCGTGCGTTTACATGTCGCACGATGATCCAAGATGCTCCTCGAAAGCCCTCGCCGGAAAAAAGAGGCACACGTCCGAGCGATTGCAGGGCACGGATTACGGATCCGTGGATCTGGCGCGTGAGCGCCAAATCTGCAGATCGGGGCGACGCGTCAGGCCAACGCCGCCTGCTTTGGCGGCGGAGCGCGTCAGATCTGCATGGAACCGTCGATGATCATCACGCCAATCCTCAAGCCTTCGCTAGCCCTCACGCCTTTGCATGGAGCGCGTCAGCGCGTCGGGACCCATCGCTAGTGAGTATTGCTGAACCGATCCCCTTCCCAAGAGGCGTGGCCTAGGCCCCACTGGCCGATTTACACCCCTAGAGTCTGGCCCTAGATGGGGATGTAGGCCGTTCCCTTCGGGTTTGGAGGGGTGTATCCCCAACTGGGGGATAATATGGTGGGTGTCTCGAAAGGGATGGGGATGGGGATGGGGATCCGTTAAACGATACCGAGCTAGTGCTCACGCCTTCATCCAGCTCCAGCCCCGTGGCTCCCGCGCGGCGGCGGACAGCCCCCCCCCTCAAGGAGCCACCCTCCAGCTCTCCCCCCGACCGCGCCGACCAGTCATCACAACTGGGGGAGCTGTGCCCTTGAATCATCCCCCTTGGGTTATGCTCTTCCCATCGTACTTGAGGACCACATCCCAGAAAGAAGCTCGAGAACCCAGACAGTGTCTCTACCCGACACGCTGGCGAAGTGTCGAGCGAAAATCGCCTCCCGGGGCCCGACGCGCTCAAAAGCCCCAAGTTTCGGCATGTCCTGGCGCTCAAAACTCTCTCTTGTGATCAAGGCTACAGTAGGTTGGAACACCAGAACCCTTGGGAAGCCCACCGTACCAGCGCCCCTGGCATGGTCCATGGAGCGACGCCCTCCTGGCAAGTGCGGGGGAGAGCCTGGCGCGCCACCCCGAGGGCCCCAGGGTGGCTCTGGTCGTGCGTGGCGGTGGCGGTGCACCCGGCCGCCCTCTGCGGAGGCGACCGCGGCGTCGACGCAAGGCGCCTGGCTCCCAGGGGTGGACGGCGGTGGCCAGAACCACAGACGAGTCTTCAGGCTAGAACGGCTGCGAATGAGGGGCCAGGGGGAAGTACGAAGAGCAACGGTGGATGGAGGAGCAGAAGCGGGAAGACCGGCAGGAGGAACCAGGCGGTGCACGAGGAGGGCCTTCGAGAGGGCACATCCCCACCTGTACGACTGCCCGTGCTTGCAACTGGGTGTAGTAAAGGTACGCACGGTGCACGATAATACACAGTACCTGGTAGACCAGCTTGCAGTCAATAAGGTCGGACGTGTAGTGCGGGGTCCGCATCAATTGCACATGCCCCCCAACCAGGTGACAACATCAGTGGACTGCGTTTATCGCCATGACACGAACGAAATGAACCCACGTGTCAAGACACCCCAGACACAATCCCAGAACATGGCCTCGCTCACGCGCCCCGCCCACCAGAAGCAAAGCAATCTCCATCCTTCCGAGAGGGCACACGACGCATGCATGCTCACAACATGCGACCTTAGGAACCCGTTTGCATTATGGTTAGCCACTAGAAGCGCATGGCAACCCATGCTCCAGTCAAGCTGTAATGGCGCGAGCGTTCCGAATGGGAGTACATGCGGCAGCCACGTTCGGAGCGAGCTGTTCACCACACTGCGGCCCATGCAAGCACCATACCCAGCACGAACCCTGCCGCCAATGCGCGCGGGCACTGAACGTGGGCGAGACGTGTCGTTGTCGCCCGCCCCCATGGTTGCGCCCGCTACCCCCAGGGAGTAATTGGCGCCATGTGATATGCATGACGACTTCCCGTCGAAGTCTTCTCCCCCCGTAAAACTCATTGGATTCAACACCGTACTCGTAACCGTCGTAAGCTTCTTAAACTTTGTGGGGCATGCAATTTCGGATGGCTTCGTAGCTCATCGCTCCTCTTCCTCCGCCTCGTAATTCCCTGCGCCTCCTCTTCCGTATTATCCTCCTTGTCGAGCGTAGCCAAGGACGAAGGAAAGTCCTGAACATTTTGCCATCGCTGCGCGGCGCGGATCGCTAGCACGAGAATTTTGGCCAAGATCTCCTCCTCCGCCTCCTCCTCCTCAGTCTGCAAACCGTACAAAACGAATAAGGCCAAGACAACGCACTCTTTTACTCGTAACGTGTATGAGTCCTAAGTGCACTCGCTCAGAGGCTGCCGAGAGGAGAGGAAACAACACAAGCCCCCCTTGACCCGGACATGCAAGTCGACGTGCTTACGAGCGGCAAACTCGAAAAAGGCTCAAGCGCATAACGCAATGTGGAAAAGGCTCCTGAGATGGAGGAAGGCCTGCGCTGGTCAAATCGTAGTTTTGCTTATGGCGGGGTCTTCGCGAGGTGCGGACTTGCTACACCAGTGCTGGGTCCTGGTGACATCCTCCACCATCGCGTTTTCGCACGTTGACGCGTGGAAACATGCAACGTACTACCTGGCAGGGTTTCTGTAATCTTCTGCCACCCCCTCTCGTGGCAAACTCGACACACCCCTCACACTGATCGGGCCCCGAAGCGACCCCTTTTGCATAGGCATAGCGGCACACCCCTCACGCAGATCGTGCTGCCCCGCAGGTGACTGCACTCATACAGAAGCTTCGCACAGCTTTGCCCCACTCACGCGGGCACGCCTCTCACAGGGATCGTGCACTGAAGGGAGTTCCACCACCTACGGCCCCAGGCAAGATTCGCATCCCGCCCACCCCCATACTTCGGCACACCTCTCACACTGATGGTGCCCCACAGGGAGCTCCACCGACGGCCTCAAAAACAGGCTCGCGTAGCGCTCCCCCCACCACCCGCCCGACCATTGCGGCACACCCTTACATGGAACGTGCCCCACAAGGAGCACCACACGCAGCCCCAGGGACAAGGTTTGCAAATCGTCTCTCCGCCCATGCTGGCAGTGGCATTCACGTGCAACTTCGCTTGGCGTCCCACCGCCCGTTTTGGCACATGCTTCATACGGGTCGGGCCCCGCAAACAGCTCCAGCTGCGGCCTCCATGGGCGAGGTCGCGCGGGGCACCCAAATTACTCGGCGCCCTTTTCCACCTTGAATTTGCACACACGGAATTCGGGGCGCCCGTGCACGCCTGCTCCGCAGAAACCCGCTATCAGCCCGCGGCGCGCAGCGTGCGAAGAGGGGACCGCGCCGTGCGCTACACGTGACTGCTCAGGGGTGGGTCCGTCGCTAGGCCAATGGTATGCTGATCGACGACGCCTACGGCGAATCACCGCCTGCGCTTGCTTTTTTGAAAGCGCCTCCGGCAGTTGGGCTAGAGTTTGGCCAAGCTGCGGAACCATGTGTTCCCACAACTGCAGTTGAAACGTTTCGGGGAACACGTGAGGAAGAGGAGTATGAGGAGAATGAGGACAAGGAGGGCAACGGAGGAGGAGGAGGAGGAAGAGGAGGAGGAGGAGGAGCATAAAGAGGAAGATGATTACCAAGAGTACCGCCACCACAATATTGATATAACGTAAAACATGTCCGAACGTTTATTTACTCTCGGTGCACTTGCATCGGGACAGTTCCCCCGAAGGGCGGAAGAGAAACGTGACAAAAACGTTCGCACTACGGCGCTTGCGGGCTTCTCCGTGCCTGCGTGCGCGCTCCTCCCGAGCGTAGCGCTCCCCCTAAACAAACACAGCTACAAACGTGTTTCTCCCCTACGCCCGCCATGTTCGACTCGCGTCTGGCTTCAGATAACGACGCACCTCCTCCAGGTCGCGCCGCCCCAAGCCACCCGAAGGGCGCCAGTCACCCGGGCGACCCCACACCCCAAAGACGCCAGGGCGGGGCACCGTAGCCCCGAGTCGGCGTTGTCTGCTACAGGAGGGGGGTCGGGATTCGTTCTGTTTTTTACCCGCAGGCGTTCCGCAAGTCGTTCCGCAAGGTTGACCAGGTCGTATTGCAAACCGTCATGTTTTTTACCCGCGGGTCGTTCTGCAGCCTCAAACGCCGATTTCCCAAATCGTCTTGTTTTCGTTCCGCGGTCACAGTACAAATCGTATCGCAAAAACAATGGAATTGACAATGAAATAACATGCACGCGTGCGTTGCATGGGACAGCGAATGAGGAGAAAGGGGAGGAGGGGGAGTACGATGAACGGCATTGATCGTTAGACCTTGTCTCGTGTTGTTTTGTTGGGGGGCAGGACCTCGTAGTATTACTGGGTAGGCCAAGGTCCCCCTCAGAGGCAACGCATTGCAGTGCATTGTATTGCATTGGTCATGGTGGCGATTGCCACGGGAAGGCCACGGGCCACTAGCTTCATTGCAGAATAGCGAATGGGGCCATGGGCCAAACGAACCGTGAAACCAAAGAACGAGAAGGCGTTCCCCCCCGCCTTTGAACCAGATCCCCCACCACCTCCCCATCCTCCCCCTCCTCCGCAGCCATTTTGGCGCAGCCCTTGGCAGGTTCAGTCCTGCCAGGGGTGTCGGCTGGCCCGCGTGATGGAGCCTGGCTCCATCGGCGCGGCATTGGCCGCTATCGCTGCAGGCGGCGGCGCCGATGGCGCCGACAGCCTGGGCCAGGCGCTGGAGGGCATCGGCGCCGAGGGCGCCGAGGGTGCTGACCAGCTGGCTGGAGCGCTGGCTGCCCTCGAGGAACTGTCACTCAATGCCTGACCTCAGCGATTCCATTGCGGTCGGAGGCTTGAGGCTTGGGCGCAGGCCCGAGCGTCAAGGCTCCGACTGCCGATGGAAACGCTGAGCGCTCGCATTGAGTGACCGCAGGCAGCGCCCGAGGAGCTCTGTGGCGTGAGCAGCGACGGAGAGCCCGATGAGCTCCCTCCAGCTGGCGAGCACGTCGTTGACGTTGCTGCGCCGCCGACGCCGCTGGTGGACATGTCCAGGGCGCCACTGCCCGACCAGATCGCAGTGCAGCTGGCGAGGTTGGCGCCAGATGCAGGCCATGACGTCGGTCCAGCTGGCCACGTGATCATGAGCTCGTTGCTGAACGAGGACCCGCAGCACGTCACGTCGATTGCCGCCGCGGCGACTGCTGTCGACCTCCCACGTTGCGACGTGCGAGCGCTGTCGTCGGTCACGTCTTCATGCTGTTGGCACATGGAGCGGCGGAGCTGGCACGCGATAGAATCGTGTATCACCGCAGCTCCTGGCGTCGAGCTGGTGGCGTACATAGACTACGGGACGTACGACGGCGTGGACTTGAAACTGCTGGCCAGGAACTTCTCCAGATCGTTCGCCAAATCAGCCCCGCAGTCGGCATCATCCAGTGCAGAGTTGGCGATTATCAGTACGCTCGTGGGCGAACTGCAGTCTCACAGGAAAGCTAACACCACATATGGCTTCACAAAGGTTCAGCACGCAGCGAACGTTGTTGGATTAGTGTTCAAATCGGCTGGCGTCATCCATCACTTGATTGGCCATCTCAGCACCCTGCTGTTGGCTGTGGACAGGTCGACTGCAGAAGCCCTCTTGGCGTGCATCAGACGGCTCGACCCTGGATCGATTGCCAGAGACAATTTCAAACGAAAAGTTCGGGTTTCAGATACTGATGGTGCTGCGTGCAACGACAGGGCCGAGAAAGGCGTGATGGTGGATCGGGCGTCCTGGTCGAACTTGCACTTTCATTGTGAGGTTCACTTCACATCCAACATGCACACGAAAGTAATGCAGTTTCCACGAGTAGCGCGCGATATCACTGGCATGGTCAACACGACCTACGCACTGAACAATTTCTGTATGATGTTGAGGTTCAGGGAATCGGCCAAGACGTGCATCCAGCAGATGGTGACCATATATGACGATGTGTTGTTGGATGATGCCGCAAAGCAGTACAAAGAGTTTGTTCTTGATGTGTTTTACGGGGCCGCCCCAGAGCACCGAGATAGGCGAGCAACGCTGCTGAAGATGGCACCTGGAGATTGGCGGGTTCGTGGCGACTACGCGTGGAAGAGGATGGGCGACGAGACCGTGGAGCAGGTTTCAGATATGCTGGCTGACGTGTTACTTCCATTGCTGTACGCACATGCTCCGTTCGAGTTCCCTCGCAATCGCTGGACTGGCCTGGACAAGAC